TTTGTGCCGGTCTTAGCCTGATGCTATTGGTTAGAAATATCTGGGGGGCACTCACCTGGGCCTGAGATGAGCCCCAATGGAAATTTTTCCTTTTGGAGCCAATGCTGTGGCTGGACCTGCTCTTGTGGTTCTTACTGTAATTGCAAGATGCACTTCAGCAACAACAATCAGGGAACTTAAAAAAACAAATGAACAAGGTTTATTACTCCCAGGTCCTGCCGGGGCCACGCAGCGAGGTCCTGGGTAGAGATAGAGCCAGGGCCTGGAGTTCTACTTTTATTGGGGTCAAGGGTAGGGTGCTAGGATTTCATGAGTTCACTCTTTATTGGTGAATGTAAAACATAAGAAAGAGTTAAAATGCAGAGGGGAAAAAAAAGTAGTCAAACATCAGTTATCTACGTCAACCAGAAATCTCGAAAACAAAGGGAACAGCGGGGTGAGGCCGCCTTCCTCTCTATCTAATCACGTAGCTGGCCGTGTATTTATTGAGACAGCCATCTGTGTCAAAAGCTTCATGTCAGGCATTGGATTACAATTTTTAAAAAGCCTAATGACAACTGTGTTGTTCTGGGATGTATATTCAAGTGGTACGATTATGAAGAAAAGGAAAACTCAGCGTAGCAATCATCTCTGGAGGAAGAAAAGGAGCTTGGGATTGAGAAGAGGCTAACTGGGAAGACACACAGGGGGCTTCCCGTGTATCCGCTCTATTTCTTTACCTAGGTGGTGGTTACATGAGTGTTCACCTTACAAATGTTTGTTAACTATCCATACAAGTATTATGCAGTTTTTGTATCCTATATTTCACAATATTTAAATTTTTAATTAAGAAAAAGCTAACTGTCAGGTGCTTACACTACATCTGTTTTTTCACCTCACATTCTGGGGACCATGACAATGTCAGCACTGGCTGGGGGTGAGCACAGTGGAGAAATACACCTTTTCCTTGGCTCTGGCCTCAACATTTGCCTCTTCCTGGCCTGACCCCAAGGGACATGCCTGAGGCCTGTCTGTCTCCCGCTCCTCTAGCGGAGTCAGAAACCCCACAGATTCCAGTTCAGTCTGCAGAGAAGCTTGGGTAGCACTTTGAAAGCTGGGGGAGGGGGTTGCCATGATCCTGCAAGGTGCAGGAGCGCAGGGGCCCAAGAAGTGACTTTGTGAGTTTGGTTCCCCAGGGCCCGAAGCCCTTCTCACTCCTGTAGAGGAAAGGGCAACAGCTCCCTTTGTTCTGTCCCAGAGTGATCCCAGAGTGTCTTACAGGGCTGAAAGTGGATGAATCATCTCTGGGAGATTGTGGGGATGGATCAAGGAAGGAAGGAAAAGGAAAGAAATGTCATGAAATTTCTTGATCTAGAGTTACCATGAAGCCCACCTCATCTGGAACTGGGTCCTCCAGTCACTGGTGAGGGCGAAAGAGCCCATTCACATCTGAGTCTCCATTCTGGGCCGAAACAGAGCAAGGCAGAGCATCGTGGCCTGGGGTCCAGTGAACATGCTCTCTATGCCTTCCCCAGGGTGGGAGCACTTGAACTTTGAGTGTGAAGGATCTGGGTAACCTCGGGAATAAGAAAAGCAACTGCTGGAGAACATGGCATGCTTACCCTCCACACTTTGTTTTTAACTTCACCTCCAAAGAAGTCAGAGAGAAATAAACATTAAGGCCTTTCAGCGAAAGAAAACTTTCCACTTCTTGATCTTTTGATGTGAAGCAAACATGAAAACTTTTCAGACACTACTTTTCTCTGAAAACAGTTCTTACCTCCTTATTAAATTTCCGAATCCATGACATATTAAGCGAGAAAATTATAAAGGCAAATGAAAAGAAGTTTCACGTATTGGAAACGGTGAAATAAAACTGCCCTTAAGAAAGAATCTCAAGCTATCACGAAATCTACGTGAGTTGCACCTGGGTCCACCACCAGGTGGTGGTCCTGAAACCCTTGTGGGTTTATATGCGGCCTGGTGGCCTGATCTTCAAACGAATTCAGTAATTCAGTTCAGAAAACATGGTTTGAGCCTGTGTTGTTGACTATTCGATATTTGCAGGCAGCAAATGCCTTAAGACTTCAGCCTTTGCTAAGGTACCTGCTAAAACGTGAAAGTGTGATCCAGTATTGAACTTCAATTAAAGAGAGTAGAATAAGCGACAGCAGCAGGAACCGGAGGGACCCCTTTTGTCCGGAGGACACCGGGGAGGAGCAGAGGCGGAAAGAGCGCGCAGGTCGGACGCGTGTGGGCAGAGGGGAGTGAGGGCGGGGAGGGCGCGACCGACGGTTCCTGGGTGGATTCGAGGCGCCCGCCATGGAACAAGAGCCGAGAGCACTGACCAAAACCGGGGGCGGGGGTCCGCAGCGGCGGAGGGGCGGCGTCCACGCCACGGGGAGGCGGGGGGGCGCCGGAGGGCTCAGACGCAGCGAACCCGTCGGCTTCTGCAGCTGCCTGGAGCGCGGGTGTCATAGGGGGCGCTCTGGCACTCGGGCTCTGAGTTCGGAGACCTGCGTTTGTTGCGGGATCCCGAAGCCAAACGCGGGTGTAGGGGGGCCCAGGGTCTTCGCTTCCGGGGCAGGCGCGAGACTCCAAGCCTCAGCCTCTCGGGAGCCGCAGCCTCCTAGTCTGAGAGACTGGGTGCTTCCTGGGACCCTTTCCACTTCAAAAAGTTGGCCAGAGTCATGACAGGCTCTACCGATATGGTTGCGCCCACCCCCGCCGGCTGAGTTCCCGTAGTGTAGTGGTTATCACGTTCGCCTAACACGCGAAAGGTCCCCGGTTCGAAACCGGGCGGGAACAGTCCCCTTTTCTTGAAAGTTACATTTACGTTTAACAATAAAAGGCGAGTAAGGGGGTGGGCTTTGGGAGCGTGCATAGCTGCAATTTTCGGTCACAAGAAACATAGTTGGAGTTCAATCCCTACCAGAAAACTCACTCACCACGACGAAACAGGCCCATTTGTTTCCTCTGAGTCACGTTGTAGCGCGGGCCACAACCGCTTAGTCCAACAAGGCACATTTCAGGTTACCCTTCGATCCAGAGCTCCCCGAACCGTCTCATGTAGCGCCTAACTCTTCTCTACAGGCTGACAGGCATGATGCCTCTGAAAACCAGGTTCTTCCCCGTGAAGCGCGCACTTGGCTTTCCTCCACCCCAACTAGCTTGGGGAACAGGTTAATTTACGTGACAGAATAAAGCAAAACCAGCCGAAGTCTGCACCTGGGGCTCGAGCCAAAGACACGTAGACAAAGTTTCATGATCCCCTAATTGAGCTGGTCAGGGCATGAAAAGGAGCCGTCTACGTGCTGTCATCAGGAGAGACCCCTGAGCTGGTGCATAGATCAGGAAGCAAACGGACTCCGTTCCTCCACCCCGCCGAGGGCCGAGTCCGCAACTTACAAAGAAACCGAAGTTCAGAAAGAGATCATGTCCTGGGCTCTGCCGCACACAGTGCTGAAGCTAGACTAGAACGCTACCCAAGCCAGTTACCTAATGGCCTGGCTTGAGCCCAGAGCCTCGCCCAAGCTGAGAGAGGTGAAGGCGGTGAGCAGCCGGCCAAGGGCTGGGAGCCCTTTCACAGGTGCATTCAGCCCTGGCTAATGGAAATCACATCCACTTTTGCTTGCAGGAATCTTTCATCATTTACATATCAGGACACCAATTCACACTTTGCTCGCGGCTCCCTGGTGGTCTAGTGGTTAGGATTCGGCGCTCTCACCGCCGCGGCCCGGGTTCGATTCCCGGTCAGGGAACTACTTTTGATTTTTCTCTCAGTTGATTTAAATGCTGGTGGGGCGCAGTTCCAGTGTTCCAGGCATCTCCCAGCCTGAGAGAGGCGAAGTGGGATGTCTTTTCCTGACTTCTAGACTGACTCCAAGCGGACATAGTCACCCCATCCTGATTTGTGGTGCGTTTTCAATTGTTACCTCTCCTCAAAGTCATTAAGGAGCTTCTGTTTCTAGGATCTCAGTGGAGGCCAACACTGGGTTTTAAAGTCTAGGTGTAGCTAAATTAGTGGTTTCAGCGCCAGATATAAGGTATAAGGGGAAAAAAATCAAGTTGATAAAAAAGTAAATTTTAAATACGTTAAAGCACTTTAAGGAATTTTAATAATTGACATCTAATGGCATAGAAAATTTTTATGTCGTATCATATTTCTAAAGATAACTACTTGTATGCATCAAATTGGCTTAATAATTTCACTCTAAAAGCTACTTTTTATTGTCCCTCAGATTTTCTAATAATGAAGAAAATATTGATAGCATAGCATACCTGTTTGTACAAGATTGGATTTATTTTCTTTTCAAAACCTTAATTTTGAACTTCCTAAATTTCCTATACTGGTTTTACTGGTCAAATAAGCAAACTTTAATTCCACGGTCTCAGAGACAGGGACTGTAGTGTCTTCACTCTATGAATTTTGACGTATAATCATTCCAATCACTGCGCTGCCTTGTTCTTGGACGACAGGTACTCGCATTCTTTTCTTTCGTGCCTGCTCTCGGTTTGCCGCTCCCCTCCTCTCGATACTGATACGTGATGATAAAAAAAAAAAAAAA